TACAGTCGGGGTGCACTGTTGTTACAGTCGGGGTGCACTGTTGATGTTACAGTCGGGGTGCACTGTTGTTGTTACAGTCGGGGTGCACTGTTGTTGGTTGTTTTTACTCTTTGGTCTTTCGGGGGAATCCGTCACCCAGCTCCCAAGTGAATCACACATGGAGACTTAATTCTGACAAATGCCTGGCCTTGGCTTGTTTCTCGCCAGCTTTTCTTAAATTAAAACTGTCTTCATTTGCCTCTGGGCTTTTACTTTTTTCTATCTCTGTAGATCTTTTCTTTCCTTCTCATTAGGTGTCTGTCTGGGTGTCTGGGTGTCTGGCTGGGTGTCTGGCTGGGTGTCTGGGTGTCTGGGTGTCTGGGTGTCTGTCTGGGTGTCTGGGTGTCTGGCTGGGTGTCTGTCTGGGTGTCTGGGTGTCTGGGTGTCTGGGTGTCTGTCTGGGTGTCTGTGTGTCTGTGTGTCTGGCTGGGTGTCTGTGTGTCTGTGTGTCTGGGCCCTTCTTTTCTCGCTCGTTCCTTTTCTTGTTCCTTGAACTCCTTTCTCCCAGATTTTTCCCTCTGTTTATTCTCTCTCCTGCCAGCCCCACCTATCCTTTCTCCTGCCTTGCTATTGACCATTCAGCTTTTCAGTAGACCATTGGGTGTTTAGACAAGGAACGTAACACTGCCTCACAGAGTTAAACAAATGCAACACAAAAGAACACAACACATCTTTGCATCACTAAAGAAATGCTCCACAGCATAAACAGATGTAACACATCTTCAAATAATATTCCACAACACTGGATGTGAGGTGGAGGCAGGTTTGCAAGTGGAGGTGTCAGGGTGAACATGGGACCCCTGGTGTGGTGAGTGCGAGAGCCCAGCCGGCAGTCGTGGCCCTTGGACTTGTGCAGGCCGAATCTGAGGTGGGGAGGGAGCCTGCGAGGGCCCAGTGGGATGAATTGAGGGGGCAGTGCAAGCCTGATGGGAGCCCCTGTCCTCAGGACACGTTCCAGGACTACCAGGAGATGTTTGTGCAGTTTGGCTACGTGGTTCTCTTCTCCTCTGCCTTCCCGCTGGCCGCCCTGTGTGCCCTAGTCAACAACCTGATTGAGATCCGAAGTGACGCCTTCAAGCTATGCACCGGCCTACAGCGGCCCTTTGGACAGCGTGTGGAAAGCATTGGCCAGTGGCAGGTGGGCCAGTCAGGGAGGCCCAGAGGGGATGGCAGTCCCTGGCTCGACCCCGCCCTGAGCCTCTTGTCTCCTCTGCAGAAGGTCATGGAGGCGATGGGCGTGCTGGCCATCGTGGTGAACTGCTACCTCATCGGCCAGTGCGGCCAGCTGCAGCGCCTCTTCCCCTGGCTGAGCCCAGAGGCGGCCATCGTGTCTGTGGTGGTGCTAGAGGTGAGGCTGATGGGCCCGGGGTGGGAGCTGGGGGGGAGCCAGGCATCCCTGAGTCTGCAGCCTCCTCTTCTGTCCCCCAGCACTTGGCTTTGCTAGTCAAGTACCTCATCCATGCGGCCATCCCTGACATCCCGGGCTGGGTGGCCGAGGAGATGGCCAAACTGGAGTACCAGCGACGGGAAGCCTTCAAGGTACAGGGCTGGGGTCTGGAGGGGATAAATTCCAGGCTGAGCCCTTAGAGGACATGCACAGGCTGCCGAGGGGCCGCCCAGCTCCCCACCCTCAGGCTCTACACCCAGAGATCCCACCAACTTGGATGAGAGTACCCAGTATCTGTAGGGTGTGGAGGACACAACTGTCATCCCAACACCTTGGAGTGGAGGCAGGTGGATCAGGAGTTCAAGGCCAGCCTGGGCTTCATGCTGTGCTCTCTTAAAAAACAAAGCAGAATAGGCACCTACCGCCATACCTGTTTTTCCTTTTTTAATTCTTTATGTATTGTTAGTGGGTCTTGGGGCCCCATCCCCAGACTCGCAGTTAGCTGGGATCACAGATGTGGAGCACAGTGTCCCCTCAGAACAACCGTTCACACAGTATTCCCAGTGCCTCACCCAGAGGCTTTCTTTTTTAGATTTATTTTACTTGATCTGCACGTGTATGTGCACCATGTGCATGAGGTACCCCTGGCGACCAGTAGAGGGCGTCAGATGCAGTGAGCTGTATCGCGGGTGCCGGGGACTAAACTGGGGTTCTCTGCAAGAGCAGCCCGGGCTCTCCCGCTGAGCTGTCTCTCCAGCCCATTTAGGGGCATTTGAAGTCTACAGGGAGGGGCGAGCAGAGAGAAAGCAGGGTGCCACTGTAGAAGGGGGCCGAGCATCCGTGGAACCAAACTTGTGGATCCTAGAGCCAATGCCTTGTGGGTACCTCCTGCTCACAGTAGCGGGTGTTGTCTAGATTCCTGACAAGCTCCAAGCTCTCAAGAATGCTCATTCTTCAGATGCCAGCCCGCCTCTTCCAAACCCCTCTGCAAACTGCACCAACAGCTCAAGAGCTGCACCTTCTAGGGAAGACTCAAGTGTTCCAACCAGAGCCAGGGTCCTAGGCTGTCACTCTACCCGAGCCACGCCCCCAGCCCCTCACTTACGGATGGGGGGGGGCGCTACTGCTGATCCTCATCAGTTCCAAACAGAATTTTAATTAATTTATATTGGCGGGGCCCTGAGTGGTGGCTCATACCTGTGATCCCAGCCCTGGGAAGTTGAGGCTGGAAGATTCCGAATTCTAAATTCCAGCTACACAATGAAACCTTGTCTCAAAAACACACAAAGAAAGGGGAAGAAAGGGGAGGACGCGATTCCTTTGAGAAAGCCGGGGCTGGGGGTCCAGGGTCCCCCACGTGCCCTGCCCTCTGAGCAGCCGACCCAGCGTTTCTTGGCCTCGGGCACCGGGTGGCCAGGCCGGGGGTCGGTCGGGGCGCTCAGGCCGTGTCTCCCCGCAGCGGCACGAGCGGCAGGCGCAGCAGCGCTTCCAGCAGCAGCAGCGGCGACGGCGG